ACGATTGGAGGTAGTTTTGTTGAACCCATGGTATACTATTGAAGGTAGTTTTGTTGAACCAATGGTATACTATTGAAGGTAGTTTTGTTAAAGCAATGGTATACGGTTGAAGTTAGTTTTGTTGAACCAATGGTATACTATTGAAGGTAGTTTTGTGGAACCCACGATACACGATTGAAGGTAGTTTTGTTGAACCATTGGTATACGATTGAAAATAGTTTTGTTGCACCCACGGTATACTATTCAAGGTAGATTTGATGAACCAACGATATACGATTGAAGGTAGTTTTGTTGCACCCACGGTATACTATTGAAATGAGTTTTGTTGCATCCTCGGTATACGATTGAAGGGAGTTTTGTTGCACCCACGTTATACGATTGAAGGTAGTTTTGTTGAACCAATGGTATACGATTGAAGGGAGTTTTGTTGAACCAATGGTATACGATTGAAGGTAGTTTTGCTGAAACAATGGTATACGATTGAAGGTTGTTTTGTTGCACCCACGGTATACCCTTGAATGTAGTTTTGTTGAACCAATGGTATAGGATTGAAGGTAGTTTTGTTGCACACACGGTATACGATTGAATGTAGTTTTGTTTAACCAATGGTATACATTTGAAGGTAGTTTTGTTGAACCAATGGTATACAATTGGAGGTAGTTTTGTTGATCCAATGGTATACGATTGAAGGTAGTTTTGTTGCACCCACGGTATACGATTTAAGGGAGTTTTGGTTCATCCACGGTATACGATTGAAGGTAGTTTTGTTGAACCCACGGTATACGGTTGAAGGTAGGTTTGTTGAACCCACGGTATACTATTAAAGGTAGTTTTGGTGAACCAATGGTATACAATTGAAGGTAGTTTTGTTGAACCCACGGTATACACTTGAAGGTAGTTTGTTGAGCCAATGGTATACGATTGAAGGTAGTTTTGTTGAACCAATGATATACTATTGAAGGGAGTTTTGTTGCACTTCTGTATACGATTGAAGGGAGTTTTGTTGCACCCATGGTATACGATTGAAGGGAGTTTTGCGTCACCAACGATAGACTATTGAAGGGAGTTTTGGTGCACCTACTGTAAACCATTGAAGGGAATGTTGTTGCACCAACGATATACGATTGAAGGTAGTTTTGTTGCATCCACGGTATACTATTGAAGGGAGTTTTGTTTGTTGTATCCACGGTATACGATTGCAGGGTGTTTTGTTGATCCAATGGTATCGTAAGATTGAAGGTAGTTTTGTGGAACCCACGATATACGATTGAAGGGACTTTTGTTGAACAATTGATATACGATTGAAGGGAATTTTGTTGAACCAATGGAATACGATTGAAGGTAGTTTTTTTGAACCCACGGTATACGATTGAAGGTAGTTTTGTTGCACCCACGGTATACATGGTATACGATTGAAAGGAGTTTTGTTGAACGAATGGTATACAATTGAAGGTAAATTTGGGTTAACCCACATTATACGGTTGAAGGTAGTTTTGTTGAACCAATGGTATACTATTGAAGGTTGTTTTGTTTAACCATTCGTATACGAATGAAGGTAGTTTTGTTGAACTAATGGTATACTATTGAAGGTATGTTTGTTGAACCCACAGTATACGATTGAAGGTAGTTTTGTTGCACCCACGGTATACGATTGAAAGGAGTTTTGTTGAACCAATGGTATACGATTGAATGTAGTTTTGTTAAACCAATGGTATACGTTTGAAGGTAGTTTTGTTGAACCAATGGTATACAATTGGAGGTAGTTTTGTTGAGACAATGGTATACGATTGAAGGGCATTTTGTTAATCCAATGGTATACGATTGAAGGTAGTTTTGTTGAACCAATGGTATACGATTGAAGGTAGTTTTGTTGAACCCACGGTATACGATTGAAGGGAGTTTTGTTGAACCAATGGTATACGATTGAAAGTAATTTTGTTGACCCAATGGTAAACGATTGAAAGGAGTTTTGTTGCACCAACGATATACCATTGAAAGGAATGTTGTTACACCAACGATATACGATTGAAGGCAGTTTTGTTGCACCCACGGTATACTATTGAAGGGAGTTTTGTTGAACCAATGGTAAACGATTGAAAGTAATTTTGTTGACCCAATGGTAAACGATTGAAAGGAGTTTTGTTGCACCAACGATATACCATTGAAAGGAATGTTGTTACACCAACGATATACGATTGAAGGCAGTTTTGTTGCACCCACGGTATACTATTGAAGGGAGTTTTGCTTCACCAACGATAGACTATTGAAGGTAGATTTGGTGCACCTTCTGTTTACCATTGAAAGGAATGTTGTTGCACCAACGATATACGATTGAAGGTAGTTTTGTTGCACCCACATTACACTATTGAAAGGAGTTTTGTTTGTTGTATCCACTGTATACGATTGAAGGGAGTTTTGTTGCACCCACGATATACGATTGAAGGGAGTTTTGTTGAACCATTGGTATACGATTGAAGGGAGTTTTGTTGAACCAATGGTATACTATTGAAGGTAGTTTTGTTGAACCCACAGTATACGATTGAAGGTAGTTTTGTTGCACCCACGGTATACGATTGAAATGAGTTTTGTTGAACCAATGGTATACAATGGAAGGTAAATTTTGGTTCACCCACAGTATACGGTTGAAGGTAGTTTTGTTGAACCAATGGTATACTATTGAAGGTTGTTTTGTTAAACCAATGGTATACGATTGAAGGTAGTTTTTTTGAACTAATGGTATACAATTGAAGGTAGTTTTGGTTGACCAACGGTATACGGTTGAAGGTAGTTTTGTTAAACCAATGGTATACGATCGAAGGTAGGTTTGTTGAACCCACGGTATACGATTGAAGGTAGTTTTGTTGAACCAATGGTATACGATTGAAGGTAGTTTTGCTGAAACAATGGTATACGATTGAAGGTTGTTTTGTTGCACCCACGGTATACCCTTGAATGTAGTTTTGTTGAACCAATGGTATAGGATTGAAGGTAGTTTTGTTGCACACACGGTATACGATTGAATGTAGTTTTGTTTAACCAATGGTATACGTTTGAAGGTAGTTTTGTTGAACCAATGGTATACAATTGGAGGTAGTTTTGTTGATCCAATGGTATACGATTGGAGGGAGTTTTGTTGCACCCACGGTATACGATTGAAAGGAGTTTTGTTGCACCCACGGTATACGATTGAAAGTAGTTTTGTTGAACCAATGGTATACGATTGAACGTTGTTTTGTTGCACCCACGGTATACCTCGAATGTAGTTTTGTTGAACCAATGGTATAGGATTGAAGGTAGTTTTGTTGCACCCACGGTATACGATTGAATGTAGTTTTGTTAAACCAATGGTATACGTTTGAAGGTAGTTTTGTTGAACCAATGGTATACAATTGGAGGTAGTTTTGTTGAGCCAATGGTATACGATTGAAGGGCATTTTGTTGATCCAATGGTATACGATTGAAGGTAGTTTTGTTGAACCAATGGTATACGATTGAAGGTAGTTTTGTTGAACCCACGGTATACGATTGAAGAGAGTTTTGTTGAACCAATGGTATACGATTGAAAGTAATTTTGTTGACCCAATGGTAAACGATTGAAGGGAGTTTTGTTGCATCAACTATATACCATTGAAAGGAATGTTCTTGCACCAACGATATACGATTGAAGGTAGTTTTGTTGCACCCACGGTATACTATTGAAGGGAGTTTTGTTTGTTGTATCCGCTGTTTACGATTGAAGGGAGTTTTGTTGCACCCACGGTATACGATTGAAGTGAGTTTTGTTGGTCTAATGGTAAACGATTGAAGGTAGTTTTGTGGAACCCACAATAGATATACGATTGAAGGTAGTTTTGTTGAACCGTTGGTTTACGATTGAAGGGAGTTTTGTTGATCCAATGGTATACGATTGAAGGGAGTTTTGTTGCACCCACGATATACGATTGAAGGGAGTTTTGTTGAACCAATGGTATACTATTGAAGGTAGTTTTGTTGAACCCACAGTATACGATTGAAGGTAGTTTTGTTGCACCCACGGTATACGATTGAAAGGAGTTTTGTTGAACCAATGGTATACAATTGAAGATAAATTTTTGTTCACCCGCAGTATACGGTTGAAGGTAGTTTTGTTGAAACAATGGTATACTATTGAAGGTTGTTTTGTTAAACCAACGGTATACGATTGAAGGTAGTTTTGTTGAACTTATGGTATACAGTTGAAGGTAGTTTTGGTTCACCAACGGTATACGGTTGAAGGTAGTTTTGTTGGACCAATGGTATACGATTGAAGGTAGGTTTGTTGAACCCACGGTATACCATTGAAGGTAGTTTTGTTGAACCAATGGTATACGATTGAAGGTAGTTTTGTTGAACCAATGGTATACGATTGAAGGTTGTTTTTGTTGTATCCACGGTATACGATTGAATGTAGTTTTGTTGAACCAATGATATAGGATTGAAGGTAGTTTTGTTGCACACACGGTATACGATTGAATGTAGTTTTGTTAAACCAATGGTATACGTTTGAAGGTAGTTTTGTTGAACCAATGGTATACAATTGGAGGTAGTTTTGTTGAACCAATGGTATACGATTGGAGGGAGTTTTGTTGCACCCACGGTATACGATTGAAGGGAGTTTTGTTGCACCCACGGTATACGATTGAAAGTAGTTTTGTTGAGCCAATGGTATACGATTGAATGGAATTTTGTAGATCCAATGGTATACGATTGAAGGTAGTTTTGTTGAACCAATGGTATACGATTGAAGGTACTTTTGTTGAACCCACGGTATACGATTGAAGGGAGTTTTGTTGAACCAATGGTATACGATTGAAAGTAATTTTGTTGACCCAATGGTATACGATTGAAGGGAGTTTTGTTGCACCAATTTTATAATATTGAAGGTAGTTTTGTTGCACCAACGATATACGATTGAATATTTACAATTTAATCAGTCAAATAAATAAGTATCATATTAATAATATTAATTTATTGACTTCTAGGTACTACTTAACTTAGTAATTGAGGAGAACTTATAAGCAAGACATACTTATCCAATCCAGATCGCAGTCGCCGAATATTTCCTCTATCAGGTAATGAACATTTTATAAGCACGTTTGTTAATTTTTGTACTCAGTATATTTTTTTCTTTTAATGTTGATTTATGTCTGTAACAAGAGATGTGTACGTCGTCCTTGCGATGTTGATACTACTTTGTGTCCGCCATTCGATGTTTGGGCGCATGCTTAAGAAGTCTACAGAAATAAGCCAATGTATTGTTTTCTTATTATATATTTGTTCGTGGGTCTTTCGGAGCAAACAACTTGACACGTTTTACAATAAATAATACAGCTTATACAGTTATAGGAACCCACGTAGTTAAATGGTCTCATAAGGAAATTTTAATTTCACACATGCACTATCACAGTTCATTACCAACTTATTTCACCACGTTTCAACCGGTGAATGTCCATTGTAAGAGATTGTCTAAATTTAAGAAAGGTGAAGTACATTGTACTTAAAGTTGCGTTTATCATCGTTCAATTTTGGCGCTATAAATACATATATTTTTTTTAATTCATTAGCTTTCGATATAATTAAAAAAAAACTGTAATTGTCGACTTTCATCTCTCACATTATGATGACGCTGATCATTTCTGCTCTAGCGTCACAAAGCAGTGATACGAGAATTAGTAAATTACTAAGCGATTAGACATGGTGATATAGGTACACAGAAGAATTCTTATCATATTTATCATTTCCCGATTTCAAAGTTTGTCTGCTTCATCAATAGGATATCAACTATAAACTTTGTAATTTTTGTCAAGTTTGATCAATCAAAATGGCCACCGTGTCTAAAATAGAACATAGGGGTCATATTGCAGTTTTTCTAATATCTTTAAAACTGCAATTATACCAATTAAGAGAAAACCTGAAATGTTGATTATTATTTTTTTGTGCATTCCCTTGCCATTGTTTCAAAATCTATAGGAGCTAGGTTAAAGTGTAAATTGTAAAAATTATCAGCATGGTAAGATGTATCCACCCTTCAAATTGGAGAAAAATCAAGCTTCAGTAGTTTTGGAGTTATTGCCGCTGAAATATCGATTTTTTTTATCCAATATTTGGCTGTTATCATGAAAAATAAAGAAACTAACTAGGTTAAACGTGTAAATTGCAAAAATGTTCAGTTCAACAAGATGTATCTACCCTGAAAAGTGTAGCAAAATCTGTCAACCTGTTCTTGGCGTTATTGCCCTAGACATTATCAGTTTTGTAGTTTTTGGCTGTTACCTTGAAACATATAGGAGCTAGGTTAAAAGTGTAATTGTAAACTTGATAAGAACGACCAGATCTATTGACCCTGATTCCAGCACAATTTGTCAACCTGTTTTTGAGTTATTGCCTCTGAAATTTACATTTTTTCCATTTTTTACGTGTTATTTTGAAAATTATAGAAGCTAGTATAGATTAAAAGTGTAAACTGCAAAAAAGATCAGCATGACAAGATCTACCTACTCTGATGTGTTTGATAACCCGTTTTGGAATTATTGCCCCTGAAATGTTGATTAATCATGTTAATAGGTGTGCTTCTTGTTGAGGGAGGTTTTGTTTTATTTTCGATTATGTTGTATTAATCGATCATTTGTGGATTCCAGCAATTCAATATTGCGACTCCTGACATGTCAGTTGTGGACTCCTGACATGTCAGTTGTGGAGTTGTTTGTAAACTTTAGACCATGAATTTTTTTATATAAACAATGCATTAGAATTTCAGGGATTGTACATTTTTATCGACATACTCTGAATACTGACAGACGTTTTATCTACCATCGCATTCTCTTTGTTTTTAATATTGTTTTTCACATATTGCATACGACGCTGTATGTTTGTCTCTTTTTATCACAGTATTCCTTTGATGTAATAGATAGTCTAGAGCATACACGAAAGACATATTTTTCCATTTGATATGTTATAAAGTAGACATTGTACAATGTCATATCAATCTTACATTTAATGGTCCGATATAATTAAACAGGTATATTTATTATAGCGATTTATTCTGAAAGTAAGATTCAACAAAACTTAAAAAAAAACGATTTACTTTGTCTGATGAATGTGCATCTTCAAAAGCAATGAAGCATAATAGATGAAAAATTAAATGTACAAATTGATAACACAAAAATGTAAGAAATAATTCTCATCATTCTTTAAAAGCTTATAAACAGCTTACAGCCCAGCTGATTTTCGTTATTCTTCCATAACAAGCATATATTATATCCCTTTCTGTCATAATATATTTAATAGGCGGAGAAAACAATTGTTAACCGTTCACCTTTCTCCAACTCCAGCATTCCGATCAACTATTTACAGTCGCCATAACAGAACCGACAATTCACGAATAATACAAATGTGCATATTATAGCGCTTGAAATGCAATTTTTATGATCACTTGTGTTTAAAACATTATTACTTTGGGGGTTCTAAATATGTAGCATATTTGAGATCGCCGTATTTGTCTGTATAACCAACAATTATTGAGGGCAGAAGTCCGTTTCTTTGCTGCTCGGTCAACAGTGTCATCAGCTCGGCTTCGTTAATGTTACTGTTGAACATAATTTTGTTCATTTTTTCTTTAACAAAAATGGCAGAAAACACTGGTTTTCCGAAGTAGTCTGATGAATCGAGATATTTCAAACGTCGTCCATGGCGAAAACTTGACATGACGAGGTTGTTCAGTCGATGGTGACCGATTTCGCAATACGATTTAAAGCTCTTCGTTTCTTTCGATGTGGGGTCTTCTTCAAGTATGAACGACACGAGACCATCATAGCCACTATGGACAATAGATTGAGACGTGGGATAAAACCCCCTTTCCTCGTAAAGATGGAGAAGTTTCCGGTACGGTTGTGTATAATGTTCTTCTCCGTATCGGATGATAGTCGTGTTTGCATACGCATGCTTTCGGTAAATGGCTAAGAAAACTGCTCTTTTATCATGTGTGTAACTCCTGTATGTATGCAGAAAAGTCAAATTATAATTAGATTTTTCAAGGTGGAGTTTTTGTGTCTGCAGTCTTTTTTCACTTAGTCCACTTTCGACGATCACTTTATCATAGATGGGTATATTAGTCTTTTCGGCAATCACAGTAAATATGGAAGACCCGGAAAACAAATGACCATGGATCCATTTGATGTCATATCTCAATTGTCCAATTGCATGCGTGTACGGTTTAATGTGATGTTCATTAATCTCATATTTAATAATTCTGTCAGTGTTTCCCACTTTTAAAGTGACGTCGGCTACATCATCAAGGAGAAGGTTTTCTAATGGCCAGTTGGTTTCATCATTCACCATTTCGCGTACAAGATATTTAATTGGTGCATAATTTTGACCTTCAAGCAAAACAATCAAGGCTGTTGGTTTATGTTTTTCCAGAATTGATTTTAACTTTCCATGAAAAGGCCCAGTATGATAGAAGAGCAGATCGTTCGTGTAACGCTCACTCTCTATCCAAATCGCTCCTTTGTTGTTTACATGAAATCCAGGACCTATCCACGTGTCACTGTGTTGGACCGGAACTGCTTTGGGTTTATGTAATAACAATTTTGCCATTTTATCACTGATGATAGAAAAGTCAGCTGATCCGTCCATACATTGTGACAACCGCGCCAAATCATACACATTAGATTCCCATCCCAGTGCAGCATCGACGAGGCGCGAGGTGACTTCACATTTGAATGCAGGGTCGTTGTCATGTTTGATGCAACGATGAATCTTTCCAATGCGTGTATGCATCATTCCACATGGAAATAATATGATCGTTTTTACATAATCCTCATATGGAAAATCCGAAACTTCTTCAATAATTCTACCAAGAATCACATACCCTAAGTTAGAAATAACGGATTTTGTTCCAGGCGTGTAATCCAATCTTTCAGATAACATGTACCGTATGATGTCACGTGATGTTTCCTCTGTTACCAGTTTCATTTCCTTGCTGATATTTTTTGTTGTTTCACCTCTTTTCAGCAATGCTGAATTAAGCATTGGATCTGCCATACTTGAATGGACATAATCCCACCCAGCTGTATGGTACAGTAAATTTTCAACAGTGATGTCGTAAATTCTTTTGTCTATGTTTTCTTCTTTCCATGGTTTGACTTCCGGTAGAATGCCGTCTGTGCCAAACACTTTGGAATCTAAAGTTAGTTTGCCTTCATCGTGAAGTTTAAGAATTGCAATAGATGTGAAAGCTTTAGATATGGCTGAGATTTGATGTTTAGCTAATAGTTCTAAGTTTGTATCATCATGGCCTTTTCCATAAGTTTTTGCATAGGCAAGCCTGTTGGCTACTATCACGCCAACCTGTGCACCATTATACTTATTTGTGTTCAGAAATTCTTGAAAGCCTTCCTTAAATTTTAAGCCAGGTTGTTGTGCAGTAGCTGAAAGAAGATAATTAAATAAATTAAAGATTATTTTTACAAAGATCATTTACTGCTTAATTTTATAGTGATGAAGAAAAAAATATTTGGTATTAAAAAGAAACTTTTAGTCAAGATTCAAGTGCAGACAATAGGATTACTCAGTTTTCAATGTCAGTTTCATAATCATAGAAATAAGAAGATGTGGTATGAGTGCCAATGAGACAACTCTCCATCCAAGTCACAATGTGTAAAAAGTAAACAATTATAGGTCAAAGTACGGCCTTCAACACGGAGCATTGGCTTACAACGAACAGCAAGCTATAATGGGCCCCAAAATGACTAGTGTAAAATAATTCAAACAGGAAAACCAACATAGCATATTTGCTGATAGATGCGTCATTGAATAACTAATGCAACATTATTTTAGTATTTAAGATTTCCAAACAAAATTCATCATATCAATAGATATAAGAAGATGTGGTATGAGTGCCAATGAGACAACTCTCCATCCAAGTCAAAATTTATAAAAGTAAACCATTATAGGTCACAGTACGGTCTTCAACACGGAGCCTTGGCTCACACCAAACAGTAAGCTATAAAGGGCCCCAAAAATTACTAGTGTAAAACCATTCAAACGGGAAAACCAACGGTCTAATCTATATAAAAAACGAGAAACGAGAAACACTTATGAACCACATCAACAAACGACAACTACTGAACATTGGCTGAAAACTGCATTATACTGTTTCCATGCGCACAACAATAATGGTTTTAAGACAGGAGAGGGTTTGTTTTTAGTCTGGAATTTTACAAAATTTGTGTTTACTTGCAAATATGATGGCAAAATAATTACTTTATACAGGAAGGAAACTGTGCAATCCCACTGAAAAAATGTTTCTTGTTTTTTCAAGTCAGCTGAGTAAATTATTACTATTTTGATTTTAACAAAACGATTGCAGAAGAAAATCTTACTAATTATGTATCATTGTAGCAAATTGTTTAGTAAGATAGTGAGTGTAAATGTATGAGGATATAACTAAAATTTGTTATGCCCCCGCCGTAGCGGAGGGGGCATTAAATTTTACCCTTGTCCGTCTGTACGTCAGTCCGTCCGTCTGTACGTCAGTCCGTCCGTCTGTACGTCAGTCCGTCCGTCCGTACGACGTACGTCCCAAAGTTGGTTTCCGTTCTCTAACTTTAGTTTGCTTCAGCCAAATGTTATGAAACTTACACAAAATGCTTATTACCACAAAACACAGATCAAGTTTGAATTTTGGTGGCGTCACTTTAACCGTTCTAGAGTTATGCTCTTTTACAAATGGGAAAATTGCTGAATTTTTCGTTTCCGTTCTCTAACTTTAGTTTGCTTCAACCAAATGTTATGAAACTTATACAATATGCTTATTACCACAAAACACAGATCAACTTTCAATTTCAGTGGCGTCACTTTAACCTTTCAAGAGTAATGCCCCTTTACAAAGGGAAAAATTGCTGAATTTTTCGTTTCTCTTCTCTAACTTAAGTTTGCCTCAACCAAATGTTATGAAACTTATACACAATACCTATTACCACAAAACTCAAATCAAGTACAAATTTGGGTAGCGTCACTTTTACCGTTCTTCAGTCATGTCCCTTTATAACTTTATATGATATGCAAGCGGGGGCATCATCGGTGTCCCATGGACACATTCCCCATTTATTCTAAATGCATTCCGGGCTATTTCACCAAAAATGCAACTTAACATCTTTTGAAGGAATAGATCGAGGGCCTTTATGTAATAGTGTCTTTCCATTGTCAGATTGTCTTACAAAGCGTTTCGAGGTTTTGTTTTGGAGATTGTCTTTCTAGACGTCATATTTAGAAATGGGCCGATGATCATTGAGGAGATTTTCCGACGTCAGACAAAGTATCGTATAAATAACTCGTTACAACAGAGAGTTAGCTGATAAGAGAAATTTAAACACTTTCAAACATTTCTGCAGGAGGTAACAAAAAAAATTCTTGTCATATTTCATTCAAAATTTATTTCATAGATAAAATTAATACTCCAAAAGTCTTTTTTTTTATTCTTTGAAGGAATGGTCGACAAAAAGATAAACAATTTGATAAAAAGATATTAAAATACCTTTGATACTTAAATAAAAGGAACTTAAACATGTCAGTTTTAATACCCATGATATTTTCTTTGTTTAGTTACTCTAGATTAGTAAGAAACTTTGAAAAATCTATTCGTTTATCAGTTTTGCTATATGTTATATAATGTAGTTATTATGTAACAACATTTGGCTACTAAATAAATAAACGTTTCGGAGCATCAAAAACCGAAAAAGGATTTAAAACGAATAACCAACTACATGTATGTCTTGATAAAGTTCCAATAAAAATGGCAATTTATAGTCAAATCAAGTGCTGAGGAATAGTTCAATACATTTGTTGTTTTTGTTTACCACGAGTCGACCACACATACGCACACGATACGTAAAACGTCACACAGCACCAAGAACTTAACTTGTCCTACGAAGAAAGAAAAAGATAACCTTTTTGTTTAAACTTAAATAAATCTTTTTCATCTAGGAAACCTAAGAATAAGAGATAGATTGGATCTGATTGAAAAAAACTCAGGCAAGGAATTTCATAATATTAGGAACAAAATTATTAAATTTGATTTAAATAACATTCAAAAATGTTGGTCCATTTGAGTCCATCTTTTCTTTAAAGCTGTAAAAGGTGTCCAGATAGCTGATGAAGTACATGAAAGTAGACGGATACAAAGAATGAGTGGGGATTCAAATCGGTCATGAGGTAGATTTTCCATACAATAGGTGAAATGCCTTTGTACATATATTTGAAATGAGTTTGTGGACAATGTTTACTTGCGATCTTAACTTTACAATGCTTTTGGGTTGATGTTATGCTGTTCTCGGGATGTTATTTGGTTTCTTTTGTCATTTAGTAGCTGTCTCATTTACTTAAATCCCAAATCTCCTATGAGGTCTGGATATGGATCCTTCATTTCTATATTCTTTAATTTTTTATGCCATTTTTCTCTATTCTTTATACGTTTTGCCCATTGTTCTCTATTCTTTATATTTTAGCACCTCATTTTTCTCTATTCTTTATATTTTAGCTCCTCATTAGTCTCTATTCTTTATTTTTTTGTCTATTTTTGTCTATTCTTTATATTGTTTGCCCATTATTCTCTATTCTGTAAACCTCCATCCACACCCTCTTTTATTAATATTGTATAGCCCTGGTGCATTCAAAATGACAATCTTTAGCGATGGGATTGGTTTTAATGGCAATACACACAAACACTTTATGCGTAAACCGCAATTTGAAATGCAAATTAATACACACATTATATGCGTTGACAAAAAAATTGGTTTTTGATGCAATAGATAAAAAGTCGTACAGAAATTTTAAATGTAAATTTCTTAACCAAATATGGCATGTGAATTAAAGTAACATTTGTTCTCAACTTGAGTTATGTACACACCAGTTTTTTTTTATTTTGAATAGAGATAAGTATTCCATTCATATGTTATATATCTTCCCTGTGATTTTGTGAATGAGTTTACGGTTTATGCACTCTTTGTGATATTTTGCGTGTAGACGCACAGAGATTTTAATAATAACCTAAAATGTTTATTCCCATAAATTATATGTAATAGGTGCAAGTCAAATTTTATACTTCAAAGGGTTCAGTCAACAAGAATTATCCTTGTATTACTTACAAGGTTGTATATACATAAAATATAATGAACGGTTGGAGCTTTTCATGTTGTTCAGAAAGTGTAAAGAATCGCCGCCTTTGTAAATATGCATTACTAAGTAGGTCAAAGTGAACTATCAAAAATGAATGTTATTAAGGGCTACGGCTGTAGAAGTCATTTACTGGCGATTATCATAAGTCCTCTTTAAGCAAAAAATAGAATTTGACCAATTAATTTGCTTTAATCAAGAGTTCATTACTCCCAAAAAGAAGACACGTTCGTTTTTGTTCAGTTTTTGGATAGTTATAAGGGAGCTACCATTTGATTTTCATGGGGGGGGGGGGGCTAGGATGAAAAATTTTGTCTTGCCTTTTTATTTTTCCCTCTATTCGGTCCTGCCTTTTTATTTTTCACTCTATTCGGTCCTGCCTTTTTTTTTTTTAGTTTATCCTGACTTTTTTTTTTACATAAATTGTCATCCTGCCTTTTTTTTTTGCAAATAATCTCATCCTGCCTTTTTTTTACTCAAAACTCCTGTCCTGCCTATTTTTTTCAAATTTCATCCTAGCCCCCCCCCCCCCCCCCCCCCATAAAAATCAAATGGTAGCTCCCTAACAAAACTATAACGGACAGATAAATCATACAAATACTGTTATAAGTGGTCCTGTACATTCCGGCTATTCGTATTTTTTTACTGAGCAACACAAAAAATTTGCATGATGTGAGTTTTCAATGTTAAAAAATGACTTTATTTTTGCATTTTTATCCATTTTCTCCCTTTGATGTTTAACCTGGACCAAAATTTCAGAAAACATGGGATCATAGAAAAACTTTGATAATGAGTGTCTCGAATGTAGAATAAAAGCTAGAATTATCGTTTTACTTTTTACGGAGATTTTGGAGGCTTGTGAATTCTAAATGGGCAAAATAAATCCTTTGGAAACCACTTGCTGTAGTTTGGAACCAAGTATCGGCAAAATAATTGTATTATAGTTTTCTGTCGGAACTTTGATGTAAGACCCCCTTGTCCTGACCAACTTTGACAGTTAGTAACCATAAAAAAAGTTGTCAATTCATTTCGCAGAAACTATCAAAGATCTGCCATAAACACCAAATTCTCCAAATAACAAAAACCCTCAATATATGATACCGACAACCACTGACGAGGTTCCTGACTTGGTACAGACACATGCATATGTAAAAATAAGGAGATGTGGTAACCGTATGAATGCCGAGGATATAACTATCCACCAGACTTCAAATGATGTGGATATATATAGATTCCATCATTGCAACAAGTGTGTTACGATATTTCACCACTCGAGACAGTTAAATTTTAATATTTAAAGCGCGAGGCTTGCGAGAAATATCGTAAATACACGAGTTATAGTGGTGGAATCTGTTTCTCTAATGATTTTTATCCTTCCTTTTCAAAGATTTGCAGAACGTTGTGTTCTTTATATGTGACGTCATCAGGCATGGTCCCCTCTTTCCATGACGTCACAATCGGGAATTCAGAAGAAACCAAGAAAATTTAACGTCATAACTAAATTTTGACCAATCATTTGCCAAGAACAGATATTTCACTAGTGAGAACATTTTTTTCACAATCGGTTGGGAAATGTAAAAATAGTGACAAAGTTAGAGAAATAAGCAATTATATGTCTCCGTATGGCCTTCAACAAGGAGAAAATGTGACCGGATTTAAGTAGAAATGAATAGGTCTCGTTCCTCTCCTTTTTAATCTCGCTCAGATGAACAAAGAAAAGGTAGTCGCATACAATAGGACATTAAATATCAGTACAAGAACATCACTTTTGAACTCTCAAAATAAGATAACAAAAACACAATTACAAAGAAAAACTCTACGAAACTGCATCGTATAGATTAACCAGCTCATGTGAAATCATGTCGTCCTTCAATCTGATACGCTGTAATCGGTATCACAGGCGCCTGGGGCATTGTCATACAATCTGATACGCTGTAATCGGTATCAAAGGCGCTTGGGGCATCGTCATACAATCTGATACGCTGTAATCGGTATCACAGGCGCTTGGGGCATCGTCATACAATCTGATACGCTGTAATCGGTATCACAGGCGCTTGGGGCATCGTCATACAATCTGATTCACTGTAATCGGTATCACAGGCGCTTGGGGCATCGTCATACAATCTGATACGCTGTAATCGGTATCACAGGCGCTTGGGGCATCGTCATACAATCTGATACGCTGAAATCGGTATCACAGGCGCTTAGGGCATCGTCCTACAATCCGATACGCTGTAATCGGTATCACAGGCGCTTGGGACATGGACCCCCATTTTTGGTGTTTAATTTTATTTTGTAAATATTCTTAAATGTATTAACTTATTTTCACTTATTTAATCTGTTCTTGCTCTTATCTATACGATGTTATAATACCAATTGAATATTGTGTAGATGCATCCCTATATTCTTATTTTCCACAGACCCAGTTTAACTTGTATGACACACATACAACCACGAAGAGGATTTTTTACTTTCACTAAAACGTATTGCAGGATTAAACAAGTTATGTTTATTTTAGTCAGAGAAAAATAGAATAATAGGCGCAATTTCCTACTTTATCCATTTCAGAATCGCAATTACCTTGACTATGCGTCTATTTGGTTTTTTTCTGTGTCGGTTGACTGCTGTCTCATTAAGAATAGCTAACATCTCTTTTTTTAAATTCATTTGAGATATGCTATTCTTGGTTATGACTATTGACATAAGGATAAGATTTTGGATATGGAATCGCAGAACCAGTACAAAGTTAACGTTCAGTATAAGTTAGTACAGAAAAAGACAATAGAACTAATTTTTGATTATCTAATTCTTAGCCAACAAGGGGCACTACAGTTGTACAAATAGAGAAACAAATGCAAACAATACAACATTTATACACATATCATTGTTATATATTGCAATAATACTTGGAGTAAGTTAGTGACTGTTAAAATGCTAACATCATCGGATCAGATTAAGTCAGTATATAAAGGTTAAGTGAAAAATTATCTGAGGTGAGAAATATAGCCAAGCAAAGTGAAATAAATCTGTGCTGGTGTGAACAGGCATTATGTTTCTAGTTCATTTGAGCCCTGGGTGAATTAATCATTCTGATATGATACTTGTATAGGAAAATGAACCAGACCACATTTTAATTGAAAGTTTCAATATTTGAAAAACAACCTGAACTATAATAATAGCTTTTTGAAGTTTTGTTTGGTGTATATCTATCATATACATTGTCTGTTTTGCGGCCTAGTTTGTTGTAACACATGATTGAACGATTGCATTGTAATCTCATATGGCATCTTTTATTAAAGGTGTGGTTCTGTCTAATATTTTTCAATTTGTAAGTCTGTTTTAGTAATTCTATCAGACATTTTCACCAAAAAATTACACGGCGATTAAAGATAAAACGGACGTCATTGTACGTATAACAATGAGACCTGCCAGGTTATTTGTCGTCTCTTGGTTCATTTAATACGCCGTGCATTCATATTGTATATTTAAAATCGACTTGTGACATTTTTAGCTTGGCAGATGAATTGGGTCTTGGGACATCAGATTTAAATATTGTAAAGAAAATTCTTTCAAACCTGTTCGTGGTTGTTACTGTAAGAGATTGTGGTTAAAATATGTACTAGTGTAATGACATTGTGATCTTTTCGGAATACAGACATTTCACACTCACACACACACATCGAGATCTCATAGGCGGATCCAGGGGAGGGGGCCCTGGGGGGCCCGGGCCCCCCTTTTGTGGGAAAAATTTGTTTGATTATATAGGGAATCACTGAAGCATGACTGGAGCGGGCCCCCACTTAGGTCAGTCAGTGCCCCCCTCCCCCTTACAAAAAGTTCTCGATCCGCCACTGGATCTGCGGAAATTTCTATGCTTCTTACTGTTTCGAAAGTGAAAGAGCGAGAGAGAACATGCAATTAATTATTTTAGTTCACTTTTTAATTCGACTTTATAATAGTTTACTCAACACATTAACATCTGTTTATAGTTTCGTTTACATGTAAAGCTTTAGTACATTTTCATTTGCATGCAATCTAATTAAAATATCGATCAATCGTGACTCATATGAGTATAACGAAATCATGCTGAGATATATATTTTAATTAGATTGGTTTGCATGCACAAAGTCGTCGCGGAAAAAGGAACATGGAAATATGTATTGAAGTTGATGTGACGTAAAACCACGAAAACTTTCAAGAATGCACGTTACCATAATTCATAAGCGACGTAAGCTATTCAATATTTAATTGGAGGCACGTGCAATTTAACGAAAGTACATCAATAAAGCTATTTTTGTAGATTGCTTTGTTTACTGTAATTAATTGCGAGCCTCGTTAAACATAGTTTTTACACCTTGTCGAAAATGATCATGTAATTTCCAATTTATATTAAAACTTGTATTTACAGGTAATTTATTCATTTTGTTTGTACAAACAGGATATGGTTTTGTAATTGTTGCCAAAACCGAGATTTTACATTTTCAAGTTTGTGTTTATTCATCATTTAGCCCGTCATCACCAATATTTCCTCGGTATGTCTAACTTCTTTGTTTCTCACTTTTAACATCCAGTATGTAAAGGAGACTTTACCAATAGAGCAATCAACTTAAACCATAAGTCTAAGAAAGACAGACAAACCAATGAACAAAAGAAAAAAAAAAAATGACGAATAGATAAAAACAGATCATAACACACTATACAGAAAACTACACATTTTTCAACGCGAATTTCACCTAAAACGGGAGATGAATTCGGGTTTTCCAGAATGGTAGGCAGTTCGAATTCCCTTTATGGAATCGACCAGTCATGCATGTACTAGTATGAGCAACTATATTTATCCCATCTTTTTCTTCAGTATAAAAATTGTAATCAGTATGTGACGTCAATAGATTGTTTAACTCTGTCGCTTTGTATAAATTACAGTTATACATTCCGTCTGGCATTTGTCCAATGTCCTTGACCTCATTTTCCTAGTTAAGAGACTGCTTAAAATCGTATAGGTTTTTCATCATGTGATTTCGCTTATAAGGAGCAATAGGATAACTATTTGTATAAGGATCAATGCAAGGTCTACATGTCCGTCAGACAGGATTCACCTGACCCTTGTCCTCATTTCATGGATTAGTGATCATATTTATGTTTTCACGGTCAAATGCGTTTCCTAGATAGTATCAGGATAGGTCAACCATGTTTGGTGTATGGGATAAATGTCAGGTGTATATGTCTGTCTAGCAGAGTTCAACTGACATGACTTCGTTTTCATGGTTCATTGATCAACGTTAAGTTTTCGTGATTAGGTTCGTTTCTCTGATACTATAGCCAATATGGCAACTGCAATGGTGTATGCAATTATTGTATGGTCTGTCTGGTAAGGTGCATCTTAACCTAAAGACTTTAGACATAAAATGCAATCATTATCAGTAAAGCAGACAAGACATTTCAACGTGAACACTCTTATTTAAATAAATTTGATATTTATGAAATAGAAAATACTTTGAGATCATTGTATTGTTTGATAATGTCGAAGTTTATTAGACGAACATAATTAATTTTCATAATAAATCTTGCCTTTTTTTCTTAAGCTTGACATCTTACATAACTCATAAGGAGAGAAATGACACCTAACATTTAACCGAATTAATTATAGACGTTATAAACAATTATATGATAATATATGCATGTATACTATATAAAAATCCCGATGGATGTATACTTCAAAATATATACTGACATGCAGATTGTTGTTTTTTCCTTTTTAAATCAAAAGTTAAAGTTAAAAGCTTCCTCTCATAGCTTGAAGTGCACCTAGGTATTTTCCCCTTTGATCTGTATACTAAAAACATGTATATCCTTCAAGGGGACAATCCCACGCTTGGAAGGTCAAAGGGGCTGCTGTTTTTAAGCATCTTATCTGATGGACTAAAAGTACATTAACACGTTTCTCAAATGAATAATAATAAAAATAGGGTGACTTGATTATGTGTATTTGGGTAAATAACCAACACATTAATTATAAAATTTATCAGAATATAGATAATATCAAATGGATGATCATATGTATAGAGAAAATGAAAATTGGCAAGACTCAGTATTCTCTGAAAAATGTAACATGTTTAATATGAATTAATCTTCTATGAATGCTTTGATTTAATTAATGTTCCTTGCGAAGAAAACCAGCTTCCAAACAAATAGGAATTAACGCATAACATCTTATAATTTTACTTACCTGAAGATAGGAATACATAGACAAATATTAACATCCGCATGTTTGTATTATTTTTTGTAATGAAAACTTCACATGGCAAAAATTTGTTATAGAACCAGCTGTCAGAAATTAAAGTAAAAGTCTACATTCACAAGGAATAAAGATATAAAAGTTGCAAAAGTATTAATAAATCCCTACAGGTGTAGACAGTTTTAACCGTATGCACTGTATTGTGTATATACCTGTATCACGTGGTATAAATCATTTTACGAGTTAAAAAAATAACCATTAAACTTTTGAAGTTTTCAAGTATGAATTCTTGCATTTAAAATGTTATAAAGTATAACCCACATAATTTAAACAAGAAACCGACTGTATAGGTAAAAAATGATTTGATCTTTGTAACAATAAATTGCCTTGTATTAACAATATGAAATAGTTGTTAAAAAATTCTCATTAAGTGGATGGAATTTCATTTCATTTCACAGTTATTTCATTTAATTTCAGTTTTATTGACGGAATTGTAGTAATAAAATAATAAAGTTCATATATATTTCTTGATAATTCAAGGTAGATAGTTAAAATGAAATATTTTTGAATCGAGTGTTTATATTGGATAGATGTATATTCTATCTAAAATAAAAGAAGAATATGTCAGAGGATACGAATGCTCCCGCTCAAGCGTTGCAATTTTCCAAGTTAAAAAGGGCATCACTCTAAAACAGTGAAAGACTCACTACCCATGCAAATTCGAACCCTGTCTGCGTGTTGTAGTTCTTATAACATTGTGTATGAGTTTCATAAAATTTGGGTGTGAAAAAACTAAAAGTTAAAGTGCGGAAGCAAAAATGGGACTGACGGTCGAAAAGACGGACAGACGGAAGGACGACCAAGGCCTACCGCGGGGGCATAAACATCAAAGAAGGAAAAATGAATTACAAGCAGTTTTGACCAAATTATATTTATTTTCAGAGAGATACATATCCTTGTTTATTAATATGATTGGAGCCAAGAAATTTAGTTTCTAAATATTACAATGATTTTTACGAACAATATTTTTTGCTGTCTCATTAAGGTATTCCTCCATTTCTTTGTATTCAACAAAAATCATATCAAGAATGATATTGTGAAAATTTTGTATTCAGACATGTAACTGTACCGTTTCAAGATGAATGGAAATATGACTATACATAATGCATGTGTCCCTATCATGTTTCTGTAGTATGCATTGGCCGCTATCATGTTTCTGTGGTATGCATTGGCCACATTGATGTATCTGCAATGTGTTTAACTTATTTAATGGGTAATAGTATCAACTGATGTATATAAGCGACTTACATTTGAAGATTGGAGCAACTAATATATATCTCAACGTCTATTGAAGAGTTTAAAGAAGAAAATATACACTAAACTGTAACATGTGTAATACAAAATGTATATGTCTTACGCAGGTTGATTAACAATCATACGAACAAACAAACAAAGAGAACTGTTTGTCGATTTTTTAAGCACGTATTTCGATATTAGTCTGTTTAAGACTAATTGGTATAGTAAAAGTATCACAAGTATTAACTGTTTGAAATGAAATCGTTTGTCAAATGGATAAAATTTCATTCAGTCAAACAATTATGTCTTTATGTGGCATTTTTATTGTTGGGACTGGGGCGGAGATTTTTCTTTTATAGTTTTTACCATAAAAACCCTTGATTGGGATAATAAAAAAAGTTATATTGGTAAAGATTTTATTAACAAATTAAGATACACGTAAAGCATCTTAAAACTTTATATGACAGTCTACAATTTACAAGTTGGGCAATATATTTAACTTCTCAGAAATGCAATAGCGCCTTGATGTATTGAGTAATTCTTTAAAATGTGCAATGCTCCCTTCAATCAAGGTCAGATCCTACCCTATGGCCACTCACCATGGTTACCTGTTATAGCATATAAGAAAGACCCAATCAAAGTTGTAAAACATATTATATACTCAACATAAAAGATAAGTTTACACATTGTGAAAAACCTGCAATTAACAATAAATATTGGTCAGACTGAATCAGGTTTACATATGATAGTGGATGCTCTCTTTTTATTCTGGCGCTTTATCTTTGGTTTAGGTGTTTTGAAAATGGCTAAGTGGTGTCAACAAATCCAGGGAAATTTGGTTCTATCGCTGTATGTTATTTGAGTAATAACAAAATGATATTCTGGATACAGTAGTATTAAGGAATCATTTAATTATACCGTGGGACTATAATTATGTCTTCGACGAAGAGAAACATTATGTTTTAGTAGTGTTTCTTCGTCTGGTTCATACAACCTTGTTTTGACCTTAGCTATTATTATCTTGAGATACGGCTTATGATATTTGGCATGAAGTTGTATTACCATAAGACGGTGTGTAAATATCAAAATGACCTTCATGTGACCTTGACCTTTCACATCATGGTCGAAATACTTTTTTTTTTACATTTTCGTGTCCGGAATACTACTTTTTTTATCCTTAGCCGTAGGTTTTTGATATTTGGCAGATCTATGCAGATCGATGCAGTACCCCCAAGATGTGTTGCGCGTAGCATGGAAGGTGAACACGACCTCCGATCTTCAAGGTCAAATATGATCGTTATTAAGGGAAGACATTAGTTTTATTCGATAATAACAGTTCCAGTATACAAGCAGTGTATCGTGTTAAAACGATAGTTAGTATTTTAGGGACTAGGAATTGTAATCAACATTATGATAAGATAGATAAGATAAGATATTTTATTTCCAATTATGGGCCCCAAAGGGCATAAACATTACAACATCAATAATTTTTCATAATACAATACAAACAATGATATAAAAAAAAAGTTTAACGAGAACTATTTAAGTTCTTAAAGTATACGTAGATAAAGAATCTATAGTATGTTTTTTTTAATACTAATGCATTTTATTGCAAGTGTGGTTGATATAGATAACAAACAAGCAGCCCAAAAAGAAAAAAGAAAAATAGATATCCATATATGTATAGTACACAAAAAGTTGGATCAATTAAACATATAATAATGAGCCAAAAAGAAAGTAGAAATTAAGCATGTCCATGACTCATCCTGTGTCAGCAGCAAATAGGAAAGTATTATGGTTTCCTAAAGGCAGCTGACACCAGGGGGCGATACCTTATGTGCCATAGGCATGTAAAATGTGTGTAAATGTCTCTTTCCTACCTGTATCAAAAGCAAACAAGGAAGCATCATAGGTAACTTGAATGCAGTTGATACCAGGGGACGATGCCTCAAGGATATAAGAGAACGTTTGAATAAATAATATATTCTAACAATTAATTTCTATTTTTTTTAATCGGCTAGTATGTTTGTGATATTCAGATGAATATAATTTTCTATGTCCAATCAAATGTATATACACACATAGATTTCCTTTAACTTATCTTCACTAAGGAAGATGTTTGTATATAAAATTACATATTATTTTAAGTAACTCAACATTTTCTACACTAAATAACCAGATAATTTTGCTTTGACTGCTCATATGATTGAAATAAGAATTATATTTTGCAATACTAGCTTATGTAACAACAGTGCATCATGTTAGAATTTTAGAGAATTGTAATGGGCAGAATATAACAACAAAGTAGCATGTATTAGGGAATTGTAATTGACATTATGTAACAGCAGTGTATCATTTTAATAGGAAGCTTTAGAATGTTAGAGAACTGTAAAGGGCAGAATGTTATAGCAGGCAGTGTATCTCGTTGATTCAAATGATTCAGATAAAAAAAACTTCCGATTTTTTTTCCAAAGAGGATCTCGGATCTAAGATCGATTCATTTATCTTTTATCCGTTGTCACTTATTATTAACTCCATCGAGTATGACACGTTAGGATTAAAAAAATGCTTGCATCTCATCTAAGGAAAATAACGGAGCACAACTGCTTTCCAGAGAATTTCATGTAATTCTATATTTGGCTATATTCTTGTTTTGAAAATTAGTGTTTGACATCACAAACGTTTTCATTATGATAAGGACATACTTGTCCTGATTTGTTTCTGATAAATAGTATACAATTTTATGTCGGGCATTTTGACACCAAAATAATTCTACAGCAAAATGGTTTGAAGTAAAACAAAATAAATATATGTGTTCAATGAATTGCTAGACGAGTAGAGCACTGATTTTGTCATAAGATAAAATAAACAGTATACGTGCCATCTTGACAGATCCGACCACCACTGTTTAGTGACCATTGTTAAGTTATCAGATTGTACGTCTACAAAATGTAGGTTTAAATGTTTTGCTATCAAATTTAATTTTATGAATGAAATTTGACCTTGGTTAATCCATCCATGACTTACGACCTAGCCTTTATCGACATCCATTGTAAATCATTTCTAATTTTTCAGAACTACGAAAGGCTATACTGTTCAAGACATCAGAAAAACGAATCTTAAGTGTTGAAATAAGCCCATTAATCAGTACAAATAGTTATGTTTTTGAAGGTAAACATGTTATTAAGTGGACATTTGATATAAGGGAACATACTGAAATCTTTGTAAAACTTCAATTTGCTGTGAAGTTCACTTTGAAATGGTTGTTCATACAAAATTGTTTAAATATTTGTCTGTTGTCCCTTTTTTTGTTATATAGTTGATTGAAATGTTTAAATTATAATTTCAAATGATTCAAATACGCCTTTTTTTTACAAATTTCTTTGATATTAAAATACAAAGGTGTATGAAGAATATTGAAAATGAATTCAACTATACTAGCCGCGGTATAGAAATTTTGCTATATTTGACCTCAATGGAGGGCATCAATTTGCTTCTTATGATGTAAAATGCACAATTTTGTATCACGTCCGATGGAATTTGGGAACTTTCTAACTTTAGTTTGCCTCAACCAAATGTTATGAAACTTATACACAATGCTTATTACTACATAATACAGATTAAGTACGAAATTTGGTGGCGACAATTTTACCATTCTTGAGTTATGTCCCTTTATAAACATAAAAATTGCTGAATTTTTCGTTTCCGTTCTCTAACTTTAGTTTGTCTCAACCAAATGTTATAAAACTTATACACAACCTATCTAGAGTTATGCGTGTTTACAAATAGAAAAATTGCTGATTTTTTAGTTCCTGTTCTCTACTTAAGTTAGTCTCAACCAAATGTTATGAGACTTACACACAATGCTTATTACCACAAAACTCAGATCAAGTTCAAATTTGGGAAGCGTCACTTTTACCGTTCCTCAGTTATGTCCCTTTATAACCATATGATATACAAGCGGGGGCATCATCTGTGTCCACATGTGGACACTATCCACATTTATTTACTGATATTTCTTTGGATGTAATTTAAAAATGTAAATGCCGAATATTTTTTTAAAAAGAAAATTATTTTAAGAATATATTGCAACCTCTTCATAAGATGGAAATTCAAGGACTGGTATTCACCATTTCTAAGGAAATTATAATTTTTACACATGTCTTTATATCAAAGTGACTTCTTTGATTTAAAAAAAAACAACTTTGATTTAAAAAAAACAAACAAATGTAGACAGATGAACTTGTTGTACACTACAGGATCAATCACGTTCATGTGCCTTTTCCCCCTTTTGCAGTGTAAATTGTGAATCAATGATTCAGCACTCTAAACTCTATAGCTTCGAAACATAGTCACACTTTGCTTATAATTCATATAGTCGTTTTGTTAGGTAATATATGCTATGTTATATGGATTAATAATCGACAACTAAACGAACCAATGGACAGACGAACGAACATATTACATTCATTTCAACGTAGTTTACTATCTCGTTATTCAAGATGTAGTATAATGTGTATGAATATCCTGTTTGATGTTGTATAAATATATATGTGTGTATTTTCATCAACTGTATATTTGAAAGGGAGTTAACTTTGGTTATTTTCAAGTTAAGAATAATATCACCGGTATTATCTCCCTTACTTTTCCTCGTATGCAATATTGTTCGGCACCGATGAATACATTTCTACAAACTATAATTCGTTTTGGTTATACAGTCGATGTTAAATGTAAAAAGTACCAATACAACTATGAAATAAATTATAATTAGCATCCTCTCTTGTCCCAACATTACACTAAATGTTAGAAGTTTTGCTTACTTTAACCTCCTTAAAAGTTGTGAATTTCACATTATTTCATTTAGGAATCACATGGTGTAAAGCTGGACCAGTTTTAATTGCAAATTTCCGTTGGACCACATGACAAATGGAACCACATGTTAATAAAAAAAATTAATTTGTATATGATATAGTTTTTATAACTGTTTTAAAAATAAAACGAGCATTTATTCGTTCCTTAATGCATAAGAGTGAACTTGGTCAATCTTTTGTATGTTTTTTTTTTATTGTAGTTAAGTCAAAATAGTACTAGAAAGTACGATGTTTGAGGAAAACAAAAGTTCTTGCCTCGTTTGGAACATAGTGCAGCGTAGTCCGTATAAAATTAAGAGCCATTTTATATCATGTATGAATTGTTTTTAACACTAGAATGCATATTAGTAATTTATGTGCATTCTCATGTTTTAACAGAAAATGGCAAGATCCAAAGAACAAGGACGAAAACAAAAAACAAAAAAGGCAAATAAAGCTGGAGGTGTCAACAAGGCAAAGGCAAAAGCAGTTAAAACCAATTTAAAGCATGTGAGTAAAATCCATTTTAAACATTTTCACATATTTGTCAGATGAAAAGTTGGATCAAATGAACCATTTAGTAGCCTTACATTCCGTTTTAAGAATTCTGAGTGGGAGCCTTTTGTAATTGTATCTTTCCCTTATTTGTAAATAAATAGTACTTACGACAGCCATTTCCTCAACTTACAGTGAATATTGATTGAATTAAAATGTTTGCGACAAAGAATCCCCCCGAATGTGAGTTTTCGTTCATTTGAACCACTTTCATGCAAAAGCAGTAAGAATTATAAATCGTGTTAGTCTGTATTTACATTTCTATGCAGTTTTATGGCTTATTGTTTGTCTTTCCGTATTTCTTTTAATACCATTAGGTTAATTGTCCTCTTCGTCCTCATTATCATGATCATGGTGTTAGCGTTCTTTTTTAATTTGTGATTTTGTATTGTCTCCTTTGCCTCCTCTTCTTCGACTGAGACTTCAAACAGTTTGTCTGTGTTATAAACTAACAAAGGACTATATTCACACGCCATAATCTAATTAATGCATTCTGCGCAATAAATGTAAAAGCATACACCGAGTTTTTTTATTTGTATTCTTTAACAGCGCTCTTAACAATGCATTTCAAACCAATGACGTATCATTGATTCATTTTGGTTTACAAACAATACAATTATTAACAATCAGTTGGATTCTAAAAAAGCGAATTGTGACACCATCATCGTTTTCTGTGATTCTTAACTCAATGCTACTAAACTTGCAAGCGTATTATTATTGAAAATTCAGCACTGGTATTCCAAAGAGTATATGTATAGTCTTGTTTGATATCTTTGGTGGTACGTGCAACCGTAATGATTATGTTGTATAACCGAACAGACATTTTATCATATTTCAGATAAATTTGAATAATAAATCAAAAACAGAAGAGGCTAATAAAAAGTTTGACGAAATGAGAGAAGAAATGATAGGCGATGTAAAAAAAGAACAGAAAACAGTGAAGAATACACAGGTAAAATCAAGGTCACTAATTACAGTTATTTGGATGTACCAAATCAGTAAAACGATACATCCCGCCATTGTGTCATTGTGCTATGGTCATTTTTGTATTCTTTGTCCATAGAGTGTCCATATGACATTTTTGTTTTTCTTTGTTGAAATAGTAATTTATATTATAGTGATTAAGATTATAACACAATGTTGACTGCTGTACCTCAATTTTTGACATTTTTACCTATTATGTCTGTTTCTTTTGCTCACGCATTGTTGTCAATATAATGGAATTCTATGCGACTGTCGTATAAGTGAGAGGTTTAACTGCTATAAAACCAGGTTTAATCACCATTTTCTACATAAGGAAATGCCTGTACCAAGTCAGGAATATGACAGTTGTTTTGCATTCGTTTGATGTGTTTGAGTTTTTGATTTTGCCATTTGATAAAAGACTTTCCCTTTTGAATTTTCCTTGGAGTTCGGTATTTTTGTTATTTTACTTTTTACATCTGTTCATTTATAGTTCTGAATTTTAAATTAGTTAAAATTAAAATGTTCTTAAAAATTAACTTTTGAAAAGATTTGAACTATTGTTCCAATTCTTTCCCAAGGAACCACCCTACTAAACAGGAATTACCCAGATCAGCTATTAAATCTATATCACTGAGAGATAATTCCCAACAATTCTCATGTCTGTGTACATATGGATTATATTTGTGATTGTTACAGATATCTGAATATTTTATTTACCTTTTTCTAAATACAAAAACAAAAAACTTAAGGTAAAAAGAACAACAACTGAAAATAAGAGGCTATAGCTTAGAATAAACAGTATTAATTACTTAATTGAAATTAACTTTCCAAACTTTCAAAGTTTAAGTGCAAAACCTTTATGTATTTATGTGAATTTTAGCAAACAACTATGCTCATAATGTTTTGACTTTAAGAGAAAGAAGTTTTGACACATCAAAAAGATTTTCATATGAGCTACTAGTATTATTATCTTCCTAAAAAAACTCAAGGCTCTTTCTCCATTTACAGGCAACAATAGCAAAATAAAAAAAGATACATAAAGTAAAACAAAAAGTAAACATTTTTTTTAACAAAAACACACTAAATAGGTAATCAACAAATAAGATAAAGTATATAAATTATGGGGTAGGTTCTTGTGAAATATCACTTCTAGACCATTTTGGTTGTGGTAGCGACCGAATGCAATAGTCATACCATGAATAGCCAACTTATATTTTGCCAACTATAAAATTTTTTAATGCAGTAGGCAAGAATATGATATAAATAAGGATATGTGGTATAAATGCAAATGAGACAACTATCCACCTCAGACCAAAGGACAAGGATGTAAGCAACTATAGGGCACTTTACGACCTTCAACAATGAGCAAAACGCATGTCGTATAATAGCTATAAAAGGTCCCAACATAATTTCTTTTATATAAGTTTGAGATATCTTGTTCAGTATTATATACTTCTGTCACATTGTACTGGAAAGGAAGAAATAATAATGGGAGCTTTTTTACAACATCAAAACTTTTCTAAATTTTTATAAAATTATCAAGTGTAAACAGGATTATATTTGTATTGTTTGAATTCTTATGCAGGAAGAGTTTATATAGAAATTAAAATTGTGATAATGCCTTGTGATTTTTCTTGAAGCAGAAAAAGACCTCCAGTTTAAATTCAAGTGTCAGTATGGAAGATACAACAACAGAGTTTGCAAAATTAGGATCTGATGCTACATGAAGAAGCTGTATGATTGATGAATTACATAGCAAATCAACATTTTAAAGACGGATTATTTGGTTTTCTGATTGAACAATATATCCAACATTATAACAAAATACATTAGCTTACATAAATTGAAATATAAAATAATTTTTTTGTTACTTACATGTTAATGTATGTCTAGATTCTGGAATTTCTTCATGTATTTACTATTGCTATTGTTGAAAAATGAACAAAAATGTTTAATTGAATATTACGATTTTAGGAAAAGTCGTATACAAATGATGGTATCAAAGTTTAAAAATGCGAATCTTTATTTTGAAAAACCTTAACCTAATGCAATTTTTGCAGTGATAAAAACCTGATAAAAAATCTATGACAGGTGTGTATATATTTTGTAATTGCTTTTCGATTATATAATTTAGCTTCAACCTTTAATTTATTTTATAAAAATAGGAGATGTAGTATGATTGACAATCAACTATCCATTCAAGATCAAAGGACAAAGAAGTAAACAATTTTGTTCATTGATTTAACATATTGTGGAGCATTCAATTTTCTTATAAATCTAAAAGCTAAAAATAAGAAATCTCATTTAGTGTAATATATGGGCTTTTCAAACATTTATTTGAAACCATATTTTTGAATTTGATACTTGATCAAGTTTATATGAGCCAAAACTTAAATAATGTAAGAAAATGGACGCGAACCAGCTAAGAAGACCTTATATATATCTTTTCAACTTTTTTCTTCAGGATGGTCAAGGCCCTTTAAACTGAATTTTGGACGATTTTTAATTTGCAAAGTGACACTTTAAGCTCTCCTTAAATTTCGAAGATGGAATGTTACTGTGAAATCTTTTTGATATTACTGCATCTGTATATAGTCTAATTGTTAGCCAAATGTTTTTGACATTGAAATACCAGGATTTATGCGGTCTCCGGTACACGTTTGCAATATATTTTGAATATCAAATTGGCTTTTTGAGTCCTCCGTACATATGAAAGACAATAAGTTTCGATAAATTCCACTGGTTGACATAAGTATCTAACTATCTATATGTTAGCTAACTCTGTGCATAATGTTATGAAGATCGAATTATCAGGATGGTCTAGGCAATGCCCTGGGCCCTTTTACCTGAATTTTTGACGATTTTTGTAAAGTGAGACTTTAAGCCCTCCTTACATATCAAACTGGCACTTTGAGTCATATGTACGTATGGAAGACAAAAACAAATGTTTCGAAAAAGGCCTTTTTTTGTTTTTATTAGTTACATCTGTTCATATTTTCACATGTTATTGGAGTGTCCGTTCGTTATCGTATATTAGAATATCATGTTTTTAAAAGATTGCATTTTCCTGACAAAAATCAATAAATTTTAAAAAGAAAATTGAGATTGACGTAAGGGTTTGTATTCAAGTACAAAGAGAATCGATGATAAGTTGTAGAGGTCTCAACACAATTTCCTGCATTTCATTTTACTCCTTTTAGCTATGACAACATTTTTTTTTTATTTTATCCAATATTCAAATTTTATTACTTCTAACTAAGAAAATTTGAATATCGAACCGACTGCTAGCAGCCAGTTGGATATCGAATAACTAGTAAAAACTGGCCGCTAACTTTACATACTAGTACACAACAAAGTAATCAACGAAAATGATTATATATAAAAATAAGAAGATGTGGTATGCTTGCCAATGAGACAACTCTCCATAAGAGATCAAACGACACAGAAATTAACAACCACAGGTCACCGCACGGCCCCCAACAATGAGCAAAGCCCATACCGCAGAGTCAGCCACAAAAGGCACCGAAATATGTATATATGCACACAACAACCGATGAGTACAAGTTACGTAAAATAATCAGCATTTATCATTCCATTTGGTCCCGTTAAAAATCTCTTCCCTTCTTGTTCTTCTTTTTCCAAATACAGTTCAGTCCACCATCTGGTGTATTATCGAACTGATGCGTGGTGCAGACAAACCAATATTTATAGTGCAGTTAAAAACCAGTATGTACAATTAAAATCTTGCAAACATTTCTTAACACAACTTTGTTTTCTGGAACTCACACTTGAAGGTGTCGATTTAGTTTCAGGCTACAGTAGTTGATGGCAGGCTGCTAATCGGATGGTGTCAGAAGAACAAGCGCAGGTTGTACCATTTCCAGGTTATGAATGTTGTTGGTCGTGTGTGGATCCCATATGATGCTGGCATACTCCATCTGTGGTCTTGAGGGGGTCTTATAGAAGAGTTCTTGGTCTTGCGTGGGTACTGGTATATGTTTCTCTGCAAGAAACCCTGGTGTTGTTGGCTTTCCTCACAACTTTGTTTATGTGGGTACTCCAGTTCAGTTAATGGTGGATGTCTGCTACCAGATATTTAGCAGATTCAACTTCCTCTAAGACATTGTCATGGATGCTATATGGTTGTCTTATAGGTTTTCTCTTATTGGTTATATGTATGACTTAGCATTTGTTGGTATGGAATTTTAGGCCAGTCATTCTCCTATGGTCTTCGTCTCTGTTGTTTTTTCTTTGCAGGAACAGAACGCAATCATCGGCAAAAAGTCAAACTGATGATTTGTTGACTGTAATCTGGTAGGTCGTAAATGTATAGTAGAAATAATGTGAGACCCAGGACGGTGCCCTGTGGAACTCCAGATTAGACATGTGTAGTCTCAATCTAATTAAAATATAGTTCTCTGATCTCGTTATACTCATATACTATATATACGAGTACGCGAGTTAATATGGATCAGAATTTTAATCAGATTGGTGCAGTGTTGGATCTTCCGGTTTCGAGGACGATGTGATGTGTTCTCTCGTGTAGAAAATCTTTAATCAAGCTGAGAAGATTGCCCCGTATTCCATAGTTATGTAAATTATGCATTAGTCTTCTATGTGGTACCTTGTCAAACGCGTTGAAAAAGTTCAAATGCATGACATCTGTTTGTGCGGTCTTGCCGACTGTTTTGGCAAGATCCTGGACAGTGATGGTTTATTGTTATTCACAGGATCGGTGTTTACGGAAGCAATACTGTGCGTCATTTAGAATGGTGTGTTTTTAATTGTCTCATGATGCTGCTCGTGATGATATGTTCAAGCATTTTACAGGTAATTGATGTGAGTGAGACAGACCTGTAGTTTTCTGGGCGGTTCTTGGTTCCCTTCTTAAATATAGGTACCACACTGCCTTCTTCCAGTCCTTTGGGATAGCTCCTTGGTTAAAGGATGCCTGGAAAACTGAAGACTGTCGCTATTTCAGTGCCTAGAAACAGTCTAGCTGACAATCCATCTGGTCCAGTTGCTTTGTGGTATTGGAGACCTTGCAGTAGTTTTGTTATACCTGGTTCTGTGATGTTTATGTTAAGCATATTAGAGAATGTCAATCTACCCATTGATTTGGTGTTGTCTTCTGGCGCGTTGGAGTTAAACACTTGAGAATTGGTTGTTCAAGATGTTAGCTTTTGCAGTTGTTTCAGATATGTTAGGCTATCTGTTGCTTTGAGGGGTGCCACTTCTCTGTTTCTTTTTTACTGTTGATAAAACTCCAGAAGCGTTTCGGATTTGTGGTGCAATCTGGTGATATTATGTTGGTGATGTAATCATTATAAGTCTTTGTGCATGCTGTTTTTGTGCAGTTTCAAGTTGTTGGTGTTTTTTTCTTGTCCCTTGATTTACTTGAGGAGCTGACCCTGTTAAAGTTCCTTTTCTTTCGTCGTGACAGTGCTTTTATCTCTTTTGTAATCCATGGTTGACTAAAGCGGCTACTAGTCATCTTTGATGGTACTGATTAATTTAAGATGTTAGTAATTGCCGTGCTGATGTCTAACCATTTTTTTTTATCGATGTCAGCATAATGTATTAGTCTAGAAATTGTTGTTGGAATTCTGTTCCTATTGTATCCTACATGTACACCAAAACTATTGCACCGAAAGTATTTAACTATAAGCAAGCATTGTAAGCAAGCATTGCAGTATCTTGATTTAGAAGAAGACATACAAAACACCTCTGACGTGACTGTTCCCACTCGTCATGTTATTACTGGGGATCTTAACATAATTCAACACGAACATCTTTGAAAGGTGATATCTCAAAGTCCTAAATTCAGAGAACCCAAACACATCAATTGGAGCCATAACTTCAAAAATAATTATGGATTCCATTGAGGACTACGCCAGAGCATGGGCTAAACGAGAAGAAGTTGAACTGGAAAATTTGTCAGAATAGGTAAAAGCAATGAGGTCTCTGATAAAACGTCCAATCCAAAAGTTATAAAACTATGTTAATGATCGACCAAAGTCCGTATTCAGAGACAAAGAATCTGTGAAATGTCCATCATCTCTTCACGATAAATATGTTGTTGTTCCTGCGGACAAAGCTTCAAATAATATTGTTTTTGTATGTAAATCATACTACTACGAGTGTCTTGTAAAAGAATTAGGAATAAATGAACACTCAGGAAATCCCACATACAAATACATCATTTGACAAGGATGAGATTCTGGCGAATCATACACTAGTCCTTCATGGCTTCAATGAACATAACATTGAACAGCAACTATGAGTACCGTCTTTGTATTGGATACTTTAGCTTCACGAAATTCCATACAAACAACGGTACATTTCCGGCTCATCTGCATGTTCTACAAAGGAATTGTTCATTAGATTGACAAAAAGTGTCCGCAATGTAAGAAGGTCTTCCTAAAATCTGTGAAACTGTTTACTCGCGTAATGTGTGAATTCTCAAAAACCTCTTTTAAGATAATTTTAAATCTCGATCTTTCTCTGAAATTAATTCTAGCAAAACCTTTGATTTTTCAACCCTTTATACCACCATTCCCCATGTGAACTAAAAAAATCGTCTAAAATAAATAATCCACAATGCTTTTCAATATAAAAATGGTAGCATACGCTATATATATTTATTGCTTTGGGATACCATACGGCATATTTTGCTAAAAGTGAACAAAAAGGTAAAACATGCTACACTGAGGAACAAGTGATCAGTATTCTGGAGTTTCTTTTTGACATCATATTTCAATTTGTTGAATTGGACATTGACATTTTCAACAAATTGTCTGTATTTCTATGGGAACGAACTGTGCGCCTCTTCTTGCTGACCTCTTCTTATTTTCATATGAGACGGAACGTCAAAAACAAGAAGATTAAAGAATTTCACATTCAGATATATTGATGATGTTCTTTCCATTAACAATCAAAACTTTTCTGATTGGGTTCCATCAATATATCTTCCAGAACTAGAAATTAAAGAAACAACAGACACGACTCTCTCCGCCTCATTTTAGACTTATACCTCAAATTTGACATAAGCGGTCATCTCAGTACCAGAATCTATGACAAACAAGACGATTTTAATTTTGAAATTATAAATTTCACCCACCTTAGCTGCAATACACCAACTTCACCTGCATATGGGATATACATTTCCAAACTGATTGGGTATTCAAGGGCTTGCAGCTACTACTCAGACTTTATAAAATGTCAACAGAGGCAGGGCAGAAAGTTGATGAACCAGGGTTATGTCAAAGAACGTCTCGTCCTTTCATTTTAAAAAAGTTCATCGGAAGATACCAAGACCTTGTTAATAAATATTCCGTATCAACTTCACAAGTAATACATGATGATCTTGCAGTATAGATTCTAGGTACTGACGTTGTTTATCATCTTAATAACGTGTTGGAGTGTTCTTTTTATTTTTCTGTGTATATTTTTAACCTTTACTGTTTAGCCCATTTTTGGTAATATTCTTTTGGCGTGGCTCGGTATTTATACATCCCGCCGTTATGTAATTGTGCTATGGCAATTTTTTGTATTCTTGTCTTTCATTTTTGCTTATGTACTTTGTCTATAGAGTTTCTATATGCCATAAAGTTTTTCTCTGTTGACATATTTGTTTGTTTTTATGGTGATTAAGATTAGAACACAATGTTGACTGCTGTACCCAAATTTTTGACATTTTTACCTATTGTGTCTGTTTGTTTTGCTCACACATTGTTGTCAATATAATGGTATATATTCCATGTGACTGTCATACAAGGGAGAGGTTTATGTAGCTATAAAACCAGGTTTAATCCACTATTTTCTACATGAGGTAATGCCTGTACCGTCATGAATATGACAGTTGTTTTCCATTCGTTTGATGTGTTTGAACTTTCGATTTTGCCATTTGAAAAAAGACTTTCCGTTTCGAATTTTCCGTGCAGTTTGGTATTTTTGTTATTTTTACTTTTTTATAGTTATCTTGTAACATTTTTATACGTATGAGCAACTTTGATAATATTCTTGTGTATTGTTTGATATTCGGTATCGTTGATAGTATTATTAAGTCTTTGCTGAACGTTAAGTATAGTATTATCATAGTTT